CCAACACTGCCGGGGCCATTAACGGAATAGGAGTGTATATGTACCGCACACACAGAGGCTATAAATATAAATTTGACAAATAACTTGATGAAGCACGAGGCGGCGGCCCGAGGCAGCTTGCACAATACGAAGGAAATCTCGTTACACATAAATACCGCCATTTTACTGCGAGAACGCGGCGCGGAAGATTTATGATCATTTGGCGAATATACACGTGTTAGATTGTGACGGAAGACCATTGTAACTGACGTGGATACTCCATTAAGATCGCCAATGAGTATGATGTAAAAGTCGATACAGTTTCCGTGCAGATTTCCTTTAAGTGTGTCTTTGATGGTTCAATTAAAGTACTTTCAGAGATTTAAAAGAACGACTACCTGGTTGCCTTCAGGTCATAAAACAAGATGGGGGTTTAAACAGGATCGTACTAAATTGTATTTTAAGAATTTATTTCTGTTTAGCTAGGTATTGAAACAATGTTTCAAATTATCACAGGAAACTATATTAGATATATCCTGTCTATCGTTAAAACACTAAGTTTATTTTAAAGACATCGTATCCTGTCCTGTCTATTGGTCTTTCTCTCAGTAGTAGTTGCTAACAGGAGGTCGACCCATTTTATTTAAAGCTTGGAACCTGATTTTTAGTTTAGTTACTCTGTCTCGGTATGCAATTCAAAAGATCAGTGAAAATCTTGTTTTTCGACCGGCGCTGACTGGTTGGATTGGGTGACAGGCTCGATGGCCTGAAAGATGTAATTCTCTGTGCTCTTGAAGCCTTTTTGGGCTTTAGGGATGTGGATTAAAAACTCAGGTGAAATTTTAAATTTTTACAACAATACAATCAAGACACAATACGCAATTAATAAGGTAAAAATACATAAGAATATTTCTTATACATTACAATATATTTTTTAATAATATAATCAATCAGCTGCTCTCCTTCCTTTCATTTGACTAAGAATAAGTTTCAGTATATTAGTGTTTAGACAGAGTGATATAATATCGTTATGTCCAATGTTAATCTTGAACTATTTCTTTATATTTAGCCAAACTGTCGTTTTCAAGTAACTCTCTTTTGATGTAATTCTTACGAATATATAAATAATTTTTATATACATTCCAGGTGAAACAAGAAAATAGGTTATCCCACTAACTGAGGAGCGCCATTCTACAACGTGCAAATCCCGGACACTTGCCCAGGATATGCAGAGAAGTTTCATCCGAAGTTTTTTTCGTTGAACTCGTTCATTTTCGAGATACATTCGATTTTTGTTAGTAACATTTTTAAATTACAAATTACCCACAGAAAAACGCCCAAGGAACAATTTGTATATAGTTTGCTGAAGTTTTAAATGACCTGACTGATTTTATACAGAGTGTCTCTGAACATAGTACCAGATTTACCATCACGACGCTAGCAATTTTTTTAACTATATAATTTCATTTATTAAGAAAAATGAAAACAGGTATTTAAGAAACAGATTCATTAAACTAACTAATTCAACAATTTAATTTACGAATTGCTCCACAAGTCCACCTGTCCCAGAAATGCATACATGGGCTATTAATCTTTTGAAAAACTTGTGGTTTTTGCCTAAATTTTTCAGCCACATTTTTTATAATGCGACTTATCGGTTGAATTTTCATACTAGACATCTTCTTTCATATACCCCTAAACACTGAATCCTAATGGAATAAAATCGTGGTGATCACTGAATTGCTGCGCCTCTTCCAACTGAGAAACAAATTAATACTATTTTTCTACTATTCGGTACTAAAATCCTCTTAAAAAAAATATGTCCCTGTATTACCAACAACTGAATTTAACTAAAAAATGTTCTGGAGACAAATATGTCCTTGAAGCAGTATGAATGTCGATGAAGTTTTCTTTGTTCATTCAAATAAGAGGCTTTAATTAAATATGGACGCCTCCGCACCAGTAGCGAGGCAAATTTTATTTACTTTGGTATTATTTCAAAACGGGCGCTATTATATAAAATATTTACTTAGCAACTTTCTCTGGAATATGAACCTTATTTTAGCATTTGTAAATGGGGATCTGGACGTCAGAGTGTACGTAGTTGTTTGTTCAACGTTACAAACTTTACAGAAATTTTTAGTCTATCAGTGGCAGTCGTGTACTTTTTACAAGTACCTCCTCGAGAAAGTTAAATTAAATTGTCTGTCACAGAGGACGGGTATGGTAAATGACACTTTTAAATATGCAATTGCAAAAAAAAATAGATTTGGATATTTCCATAAATTAAAGTTATTTAAGAGAGTGTGATAAAGAATGTGTGAGCTAAGTTTTATTATCATTACTACGATTGAAAATTAATTAATAAATCTTCTACAGCGCAAGTGAGTACGACGAGGATTTTAATTGAATAACAGTGGAGAGATGGGACAATATGAATTGAGGCCAGATAATCCCTCACATCAGTTATCCTACACTTCCATCTTCTCGCCTGTCGGGAAAATAACACCTCTAAATACCTGTTCCCTTTGACTTACCCCTCTCCGTGTCTCGCATTGTTTTAACTAATGATGTTAATTAAATTAAGACAATATTTAGTTCGGAATTCTCATCTCTCTAGTTACAAATTAATGACGAAAACGGAAGATAAGGGAATAGCTAAGAACTTTTGTTCCCTAATTATATACAGATTGTGAGTTTGTAAATTTGCTGCTTCTCATTCTACTGGAATTATACCTTGTCGTACACGGTTAGAAATATTTGATGGGAGACTGCAAGGATGATATTACAAAAACGTTGTGCAGTATTTTGCTGAAACCTTTTCTGAAATCAATTCTGACATTTTTCAGATAGTAGCTTTTGAAATTTATATTATACAGGGTGTTTCAGAAAGACCTCTCGTAAATACAGAGGGTGATAGTACGACAAAAAATAATAATTGTTTGTCTTATGAACTATATGTCTATCTCCTCTTGTTTTCGAGATACAGAGCGACAAAATAAAATTTTTTAAATAGAATTTTTACGAAAATTTCCAATCGGTGGGAAATATTTTTATGAAATTTGGTAATCCAGGGTTTTTAAGGATGCCAAATACGCTGGTCTAATTATTTTTTGGATTTTACATAGAGGGCGCTAGTTATGCTACATTCCTATTACATTTTAATTTATCATTTTTTTAAGGTTAGGTTTTTTACCATTCGGACTCTTATCTGAAAACTTTTCAGCAAAATATTTCATAATCTGTATAACTTAGGTAAGTAACCCTCCTTCTCTAATAGCTTAGGATATTTCAGTCTCACGTTAAATAAAGTCAACTAGTATAACAGTGAAATGAGTACAAGTATGATTAATTGGTTTAATTTATTTTCGATCACATTTTCGTTTATGAGTCAAAGTAACCCCACTCTCTCAGTTTTAAGCAACAAAATAAACTGAACAAGATAACGGAATATTGAAATTTGAAGTAAAATTAAACAATTGATGGTACAGAGTAGTACAGACGGTATTTCTGTATAATGGCGAATGCGCTAGGAAGAGTGTATTATAGACGAACTAAAATATATTTTATAATTTAAACAATATCCGTCATATAAAACTTCCCAGGTTTTTACTACATACAAATCTAAAAACCTTCTCCGACATATTATTATAACGTCAGATAATATATGCTAATTTATAGTACCTAATGTTCTTGGTATATCTTGGAAAATTAATAGCTATTTTCTAAGTAGTTTTTATTTTTTTAATAGTAAATTATAGCATGCCTCCTCTCCTCTTGTATTAGGTGGCGAGATTTTTTTTCAGATAATAGGTTTTAGTAAATTAAAGGAGAAATAACTGTTCACCAATTAGTATTATGCTTTTAAATTAATTTAGGTTACATACATGTTTACCTTTTTTTTCCAAATGGTAAATTATATTTAATATTTTGCTATTTATTAATAATATTATATTTAATCGAAATAATGAATAAGAAATCACGTCGAGTATCATGTAAATTGAATACGAGTAGTGCCAATATTAAGACTGTACTTTTTGTATCTAGGTACTTTTTATAATTATAACTAAAGCAAGATCTTTATATCATAGTATTGCCAGGCAGCGTTGATACTTCTGGAAATTAAAGTGACACTTAAAATTTCATTTTAGCTGCACAAGAGATGCAAATGCTACGATAAAATTTCCAAGTAGGTACGAGTTTAGTTAAGGATAACGTTTGTCGTGTAATTAAATTTAAAACCTGCGACAAACAATATCAAATATTTGCATTTAAAATTATAAAATGTCGCAAAAGTATTCTCTAAAAAAATCTATCAACAGGAATAGGTTAATAATATAATATTGACTTAACCGACTGTGTCTAACGCTTGATCTTCCACAGCTGTGGGAGTTTTACTTCTTCAAATTCGATTTTACATGAATGCATCCAATTTAAGCAAAAATTAGGATATAAAGGAAATTTGTAGACAAACTCCATAACAGGCCATACAACTGAAACGACTGAGTTAGATAAAGTGTGTACTAATAATAATTTAATTTGTAACCGTTTTTCTTAATTTTTTTTCAGATGCTGCTATAGCAAAAAAATTATATAAGACGATAAAATTTAATTATAGATTCATGAAAAATAAATAATACTGTCCGCTCCATAAAAGAGTATTTTTTTAATGGGGATTCTTTTCAATTTTTTTTGTAAATATTTGTAAGAGTTTATGTATTATAACGATTTTTCTAGCAACTGCACCTAACGTGAAATACAAAATTGATTGCTTTACTTTAAAGAATCAAGATATTGTAGCAAACAACTACTCTACAGTAAAAAAAGATATATTTTTTAAATTATTTTAAATTTAATAAATAGAAATATTTGTGTATAATTTGAATTACCTACCTAATTTTTTATGCAAACGTTAACACCAAAACAGTACTTTCTGCTTGTGAAACCTCATTATATCGCAGCATATATCCTTTTTAATCTTTTAAAATAGCATCGAGAATTAATTATTAATTTTGTTCCAGGTCGACCTCTGCATAGAACCGGGTCAGAGTCTAGGACTAATGATCCGGGGCGGCGTGGAATACAACCTGGGTATTTTCATCACAGGAGTAGATAAAGATTCTGTGGCGGACAGAGCCGGCCTGATGGTAAGATGTGGTCTATGTATTAATTCTTTCTATTACTTTAAACCTGATGTGGTAAAGGCTATTGGAAAAGTCTATTTTCGCTAGATTAATAGATATAGCTTAGAAATGATTTATTTCGGATAAGACGCATGAGATTAGAGTGAGATATAAATATTTCCTCCTGTTGTCAGGAGACGTTACAATATTTGCTTTATTTGTGACTAAATCAAACAAGGATATTCAGTACCTATACAGGGTGTCCACTTTCTATCCGCTTAGAGATACATAACACCCAGCACCACTATTAATTTATTTTACTAGTTTAGATATTTAATTCGCTATAAGGCAGTTGTAATCAACATTTCCAACTCTTAACATAAATAATTTATTGAGAAATAATTAAATAATATTTTCTAATAAAATAAGGGAGGGTTGGGTTAGCTCTTAGGAGTGGGTTAAGGTGGTCTTACACGTCTATACATCTTAAACTGAATTGAGGTGTAGTTTTACTAAATCAATGTGTTTCTCCTGCGGTACTGGGTGATTAGACACCTGCTCGCAGACAAAGAGGCGAACGAGATGATCGGACGTCTACTTCATCACGCCAGCCCCAACAGACGCTTCAGTAAGACTACGCCGCGCTTTTCACTATTCCTCTGTTGATCACGAGAGGCTTAACCTAAGGATAATAGCCTCCAAGACGGTAAAAAAAACGGCAAAACTGTAGTCTAATGAGTGTAGGGCTCGTAAATATTTTTGTGAAAATTTTTAACACTGTTTAATATATCAAATTAACAAACCTTAAAGTTTTTTTTTTTGTCTTATGTTAAAGAGATAAATTTTACTAAACCTTGACGTAAATAAAACCTGAATTGTGTTTTATCCTTTTATTTAGTTCCAATTGTAACCAAATGATTAGAACTAAGTTAATTTTTTATAACTAGATAATTGAAAAAATATATTACTATAACGTACTTTGGTAACTTTGTTGAAGAATTTTTAAGACTACTGAAAGTAAAATAATATAAGACAACAAAGGCAAATAAAATAATAAAAATTCTATATGTTTCTGTACTGTCGGAAAAATTAAAGATAACTAATATTTTATAGACTTTTTTGTCAATAACACGCCCAAATAATGATGATCAAAAAAATGTATTTATAGCTTATTTTGTTAATATAATAAACAGTATATGAAAGAAATATCTCGATCTGTAAATCTTAGAATAGATGAACACAAGGAATTTTTAAAAACCAGGAATTTGAAAAATAACAAAAATATGATCATGCTAGGAAAAACAGATACATAATTATGTCATTGGGTTTGTCCAAAATTTTGGGCAACGAATACCCTTAAAAGAAAATTAAAAGGACTGCGATTATTTTAAAATTTTTGGTTATTTCATAGACAATACAATTTTTGTTATTGCACCGATTGTAAATTATTAATTCATTATCATTATGAAAACGCCTTTATTAACTTATATGGTATATTTATAGAAAACCTTAACAAAAACACACGGTGACAAAATGCTTCCGTTAACGTGACTCTTGAGTTCAGTGCGTGCTTAATTGTAGCGACGAAAACAGAACCTTTCATGACGACAAGTATTTATTAAATACAGCTTGACCGCTATCTCTATCCATAAGAGCTTAGAAGCGTGAACCTTTAAATATACTTTACTACTCTTCTGCCAGTTCCTTAACTCGGAGAATTAAATGAACTACGCGATGAATCGAGTAAATGATGATAATACTTGATGTGGACTTTTTTTTATTTGTTTTAACGGACATTGGATTTACTGAACGTTATTCTAATAACTATCTGTTTGTTTCAGGTTGGTGATCAAATTCTGGAAGTAAACGGACAGTCTTTCATGGATGTAACCCACGACGAAGCCGTTGCGCAGCTGAAGTACCACAAGAGGATGTCGCTGATGGTGAGAGATGTAGGGAAGGTGCCACACTCGTGCACTGCCTACGGCTGGGACCTCTGCAGTCCTGGGTAAATGCTGTTCTCATTAAACTCATTAAGCATGATGATGAATATAAAAATATATACCTATATATACCTATACTTTGTGTGTCAAAAGAAAAAAAAAGTTCTTATGGACATAGTCATGATAAAATTTGATTATTCTATATATTGTTAGAATAAAATTGACGCTTTAAGAGCCTCAAAATCTTTATCGCAGTCTCAGAAACTCTTGGATGATACGGGTTAGTAAAACTATGGTCTAGGCCGTGCTCATAAACATTTTTATGGACATTTTTAACACAGTTTTCAATTTTATAAAAATGTGTTATTTATTGAAACGTTCTTGTCAATTTACAATAAATCAAAGTAATAGCGATAGCTGTTTAAAATGATAATGCAAAAATTTGGAGCATAGATACTATTGTCCTGGCCAGGTATCTGTTCCTGGTTATTAATCTGCAGGGTACTCGGGTTGACGTTTGAGCACTCTGTAGGCTGGGTCCGCAGGGGACACAAAGTGGGCTTCGCGTTAGAGTCTAAAATTTTGTTCCCTCGATCGTCTCAGAAAGGTTATTGACCTGTAAGTAATTTTAGTAATTTATGATACGATGGTGCATCATATATGCTCAGTCCGAATTTCGTAGTATTTGGAAATTTAATTTCCAAAAATTCGTAACTGATTTGAGAATTTTCGCACACTTAAGCATCGTCAGCAACGTGCTTCGTTAGCATCGTCCTCAACGTGTTTTGATAGCATCGTCCGCATCGGCTAATGGCGCTTGGCGGCAATCGGAGCTTCATAACTTTAGCGGCATTTCACCCCCGTGAAGGCTTTTGGAAGGAAACTGAAGTGAATTTCCGAAATCCTTCGGGACTCATACGACCACAATAGATTAAATTTATTTTCGTACAGTTTTTAAGAAATATTGATCCCACTAGAACCACCACTAACCCACTAAAATTTAACCATAAAGTTAAATTATACACATATTGAGATAGGATAATTTAGTTTTAATATAAACGTCGTAAATTTCATCAAAGTTACGTTTTGGTAATATCTGTACCTAATGGAAAAAGATAAATGACGCAGTTTCAAACATATTCTGTGACGTGTCATCAAAATTACTACATCAAATTTCAGTCAACTTATTTATAACTGATATTCATAATGAAATGAAGGATGGTCCACTGTTAAAAATGGAATTGAAAGTTCGAATATGGCCGCACATGTTAAAAATGCATCTCGTGGAGAGCGCCCAAAATCTACCACTAAGCCAAAAATTGTTGGAAATATGCGTGCTATAGTAAAAGATCGCCAGTTGAAGACATCTGTCATAACAGAGTTTGCAAACATCTCCAAATAACGTGCAAAATATATTATTTGGAATCAGAAAAGCTGACCGCTGGACGGTGCCGGGACTGCTCACTGTGTATCAAAAATTGATATGGATGCAAATTTCTCCTGAATCGTTTGCAAAATAATAACGTGGATTTACTTTTTTAAATGCAAAAAAGTATTCCCTATATAGGTACAAGTCTTTTGTGCAAATCGAAGCAAACAGGCACTACAAAATGTCCTGGTTTAGCTAATCAGAAAATCATTTTCCACTACGCGTGTTGCCATGGCAAAAATAACGCTTTGATTTTCGGTCAAATCCGCCTTGCAATTAGCAGCACATATAACAGAACCTTAATCACCAGAATGAACATCGGTCTATCAACTATTTCCACGACTAACTTACCTCACTACAGAAAATTTAAGAAATAATGTCAATTTATTTAATAATTTTAACAACCGATATTTTACAATTGATACATTGTTCTGAAATATGGTTATTTCCCCCCTAAATATAAATGAGTTTTTAATAGACGACAATGTGAAAGCTATTGTGGAACAAACAAAACAAACTTACAGATCAAAGATCTAAATGTATCGAGATAACCAGGGATTGGTTATGTTGAAATGCATTTGAAGTATGATGATAACTTAAATAGGTCCATTGAAAAATTCTTTCTTTATCTTGACTAGAACTCTGAACCACCGGATATGTTATATATTTCATTCTATATCTACTGCACCATGGGGATCTCAGTTATCAAAGATACAAATTGCGGAATGACGAATAAAAATAATAGTTGACCTCTCTGTCTTTGTTTTGAAATTATCTACAAAAACTAAAAACTTTCAATGATCCAAAAACTATATGCATAAAAACTCAAATATAATTAAAACATTTTTTATGGAAACATCAAATATGACAAAATTAAAAATTCAAACTTATTGCTTAATTAGTTTAAAGATCTTTGGCTTCGCTTCATGTGAAAATAGCATGTTTGTGTTTATAACTTTGATGTCAATAAAAATTTAACTATTACAATTTTATTTATATTAGTATTTGAACGTTTCTGTATTTCTTAAGATATCTGATGTAAATGATTAAAAACACAGTTTCCCTACACTGTGGTCTTAGTTCGGTTCGTTTGATCTTAGTTTTTTTCTTAGTAGCTAGAATTTGGTTCAGTTCAAGAAATATTCAACAAAAGAGCAAAGGTTTGCTGATAATCTCTACCTACACTCTTATGGCTGCCACCAGTGATGCCAAATGGTTAGCCTGGCAAATGCCTACATGTTAAGAAGAAATTCCTTACTACGTCAATTCATACTGAGAGAGGAGAAATTGCGAAATTTAGAGAAAACAAATAAAATAAAATGAAAACAAATTTAAAAACTACTATATTTTTAAAACAAAAAAAAAGCGTAGCCTAAAAATCAAAAATGCATGCAATACGAGCGCATGTGCTTAAAGCCCAGTCACCAGATAAACAGATGTGCAATAACATCTTATATCGTTCATTTGTATGCTCGTCAACAAACTCTATCATTTTCCTCGCGATTTTATCGTCATCTAGTTGTTTCTGGCTTAAAGTTCGGCAAGTCGCAGCAGCATGCATAAAATATTATGTTGCTTTTAGTGGCTCGAAGTGAATGCTGCGTTTTCGAAATAAAATGTTACTTTATGCATAAAACCAATATGTAATCTTGAAATAGGGTTAAGCAATTAACTAATGCTTACTTTTTTAAAAAACATTTATCCATCAATACCTTTACAAAAGTACGAGAAACTTCATTTAATACTTTTGATCAATCGATTGATTGATTCAAAAGTACGTTTTGGTGAAATAATGTAAAAAAATTTTGATCTTTTCAAATATATTTTATGCAAAAAGTAGGTAACATTTTATTTCAAAAACGCAGTATTCGTTTCAAGCCACTAAAAGCAACATAATATTTTATGCATGTAGTTGCGACTTGCCGAACTTTAAGCCAGAAACAACTAGATGACGATAAAATCGCGAGAAAAAATGATAAAGAGTTTGTTGACGAACATACAAATGAACGGAATAAGATGTTATTGCACATGTTTATCTGGTGACTGGACTTTAGGCATATGCACTCGTATTGCCTGCATTTAGTTTTTAGGCTCCCAGCGGCTTCGAAATAATATCAAGTACACCGATGAATGAATCCCATGATATGCTAAGTCCGATCTATAGCAACCTTTCCGTAGTGTACATCGGTTCACGCAAATGCAGACGCCAACCGCTATGATTTTTATTGTACGATAATGATTGTGAAAAATCAATTGTACTGAATCTGAAAGATCATCTCAATATCGTTTTTAATCCTTTCAGTCAGATATCTCGATATATCGACGATAGTTTATTGGGTATTGAGCAAAAATGTAGTATTTCTTTAACATACTATGCAAGTAGTGAAATCTAAAGCATTGTAGCTTCAGCGAGCTGCAACTTTGAATTTTTAGGGCTCGACGCCCATTGGTACTTTTAATATACCACTCAAGAGCTACAAAAACCACCTGGTTTCAAATCATTTGACCGAAAACCAATTTACACAAGGATTCCGGCAGGGTCCAAATTTATTATAGTCTGAATATTTGGAACTGACAAATTCCATAGACATCATATAAAATTCAATAATTTTGTAGTTTCGCAAATTTGGATTAGTATTCTGCAGAACTAAGGGAAAAATGATCAAATCTGGCATCAAGGGTACGTGTGGCAGGGCCTTTACAGTTCGAGTGACAGAGTAACAAGTTTATTTATTATTGTCCCATTTGCTCTGTTTTTGGTAGGCCCATTTTCTGGAGAAATACATTAATTCATGTCTGACGTTGCAGAAGCCGAGCTGCACACACCACCAGGAAGTGGGCCGCCGCCCTGCAGATGGTGGAGGAGAAAGCGAGGTGCCTGTTGAGTAGGCCGGAGTTCACCACCCTCTGCTATTACACGGATGAGTACGCGGCCAGACACATGACCATAGATGCCTTTGTACAAGTCATGACTGAACTTCTTAACACTCCAGATAAGGTAAGTTTGTGCGGAACTTCGTATGAAACAGATTAATTGACGAAAAACGTGAGACGTGTGTTTCAGTTCTAATCCGTCGAACTATAAATCCATAAATGTTTAATACAGGGTGTAACAGGTTTAAAGTGACTAAATTTAATTTGAGAGAGAGAGAGAGAGAGAACATTCGTTCAGAGACACTCAATGTTTTGTCGATTTTGACACATTGGTTAAAAAATGTACCCTACATCCTTTTTTGGAATAATCTTGTAACACGCTCCCATAATTGTTATTAAAAATCCTTACTAACTTCCAACTAGTACACCTCTCTAAATCTCAGTACATTCTATTTTACATTCAAAAATAAGAAAAAAGCATAGGTAGCAAAATCTCACAATAAGGGACCTGTTGTAGCAACCTTAAGATACATTTTTTTGAACTTTAGGATGTAGTAATGAAATGTATCAAGTAAATAAAATGATGACTTTACATGTTTATTTAAATTTTACTCGAAAAGGATACGTCCTATCGAAGTCGGAGAACTTTTTTTCTTTTTTTAAAACATAAATTTTGAAATATCTCTGAGGAATTACAGAACAATAAAAATATATTTTATGTATTTGAGTGTGGGTGAGATATAACCTATAAAATAGATGCTAGACTTTATCGTCCTACCTATGGGACGTTAATGAGAACCAAAATGTATGATGTATATGTCTAGTGATGCTGCTGCTATTAAGAATGTAATTCAATGCTGGATAGAGCGTCTAAAAAGTTAATTTTATGTGGTTGAAAAACCCTTCCATGTAAAATGTTTAGTATGTGCAGGTAATTCAATGGAGGAGTTGAGTTAAATTAAGTTGAAAATTTGCAGATTCCGAAATTAGCCTGCAATATTTTATCAGCGCATTGTACGACTAAAATAAAAGAAAAAGGTTATGTGACCTATAAGAATTGTTTCTCCATTCACTAATTAAACTATATTCAAGAACGTTGTCGGATATTTATTTGTAAGATGTCTTGTGTTGTATTAGGCAAATATTGTGCTCTAATTAGTCTTCCGTTATAATAATAACTATACAAAAAGTCTCTAATAACGTTACTATTGTTGCCCAAGTAATGAACATCACATTATATTCTTGAATAGATCCGCATTACTTCTACGGAACTTCAAGTATTTATTATTTATATAGTAAAAATTTTATAAACTGTTTATGAAGTTATTAAGCTGAGGTATACCTAAGTGGACTCTTATAATATTTTGTGACAAAATATGTATTAACGGCACAAGCGTGTATTTGTCACGAAAATTATGATCAATGCAGCAACCTAACAAATTAGAAGAGCTTAACAGTAGCTTCTAAACACTATATAGTCCTGAGTAATGACATTAGTCCCAACACTTTTTTCATAAAATTCATAATTTTATAGTATCTGCATTTTATTAAATATATCTATTTGCGTAAATATTTTCCACTAATCTCTACTGTTTATTATGTATCCAATAACTGTGTAAGTTTTTTCATACGTAAAATTTCACGTTTTATTTTAAGAAATGACATATGACAAATTACATTAGAAAATAAAATTGAAATCAAACTTATAAAAATTAAACAATCAAAGACACCAATAAATAGAAAAATGTTATATTGGAAGAAGACAAAGTGAACGAGAGCACAGATGAATTGTATCTCGAAGTAGACAAATTAAACAGTTGAGTATGAAATGAGTACTCCCAGTTATCTCTTAAAAGTACACTTTACGGAAGGTGTAAATCAGAATATAGTTGCTTTAAGTTTGCGAATAAAATATAAATATCTCGGGGGACTTTTAAGAAATCACAGAAAACTAATATCTATTATATCTCCTTTATGAACAATTTTCGAGGAAAAGTTTATGCAGGAAGGTACCCTTATTTCGTTATATACTGTCCGTCATATCGACAGACAATTTTGGGGCACCATGTGTTTTGCACAAAAACCATATTTGATTTCATATACAATACCCTTAAATTACGATTAAAATGAAAATGATGGTTTATGCTCATGGATTATTATATCAATTCCAGGTGTTTCAATTTGTTTATTGGTAAAATAAATTAATTACATTAATTCTAATAAAAATTTGTTTGATGTTAGCATGTATTTTAATGCATGAAACATTTCCTTTATCGTAATATGTTAGTTAAAATTACTGTTCTGTAAAACTTTACAGAATAATTTATTTTCATTGTTACCTTTTTGAAACAGTTTTTACAACTTTTCTATAAACAGTTTCAGAGTTTATAACAGCGACTTTATTAAAAATATATTTCAATAAGAACGCTTTCGAGTTTTTAAATAAATGGAAAAATAGCTTTAGTTCAAGTTTTCTGTATTTACGTGGAAAGCAACTCATAAATGTATGAAGTACTTCCACACACTTAAACTCTGCAGAATATACCTTGTTATATATGTCGAGAGCTTTTCTAGGGAGAATTATTTTTCATGCAACCCTTCAAGACATCACATAGAATTACTCGGTGATATTTGTCACCATTAAAATATTAAATTCATTCTGTGGTGTCATGATATCTTGATTATTTAAAGAGGTACATATTACAACAATTTTTAGATACAACCAAAACCCATTTTTTATTTTTTTTTTAGATAGATATACAGGATGTTTTTAAGAACATACCCTATGTAACTTTTATACGGGTTGTTTGATTGACGTCAAATTTAACTCTATTAGCAGATTGTCACTTTTTTAGCTAAAATAAATAACTTTTTCCGTTTTTTAAATTGTATCTACATGCTGTATATTTATACTTACTTATTCGTATAATTGTGATTACACAATGTAATTATATTATAACAATTATAATTCTCAGTTTCGTTCTCTTTTTAACTTATTCGTAGTTGTCTAATACTACTACTAATCATTATTACATTTGCTACTGTGAAAACTAACTTAAACTTTCCTCATTGTACGTAATGTCCGTCAAAGATAATTCCAATTTTAAGTGAATTCGATATTTTTAATTGTAGGTTAAATAAACAATACTAAAAATAAAATATTGCAAATTTCACGTATTGTCATAACAAATGTCGATTTTTTAAATTTTTTCAGGAAAAAGAATCAATTTTATATTTTCGGAAATTTCAATCCAAAATTTTCTTTATTTTATCGAGTATGTAAATGTGCAATGATATGTATACTATTGAAAAAACCAATTGTTTTACTAACTTACAAGAAAATAATTTTTACTTAGCAATCTCCTATATCTACGATACTGAATAGGTTGTTAATCGTAAACTTTTATTAAATATTGCATTTTAATGGTCCTAGTACGTGCCTAAGAATTAAACAAAATATGTATACATATTTATTTCTTAGTCAACAAAAACAGTTTTACTTTTTTTTAACTTCAAGTCTGTAAGTTCTAAACCATTGGAATAATTGGACATTTGGACACGGATGTATAAGGCAAGCTCGTTGCATTTTCGATGTTTCATTTTTTTCTCATATTCTTTTCAGCTTTTTTTTCCATTTTTCGGAATCACCTTTCACTTCCTTAGCATTCGTTAGGAATCTTTGACCTGTCCTTGGTATTCTCGGGCTAGACTCTGTGCAAGCGGATCCACTACTAGACCTCTATTCCCGCCTTGATATTCCGGTTCTTATTATTTCAAAAGCCGCTAAGGACGAAACCGCTCCTCAGGTAGTGTAGAGGTCCTCTGAGGCGTTTTGTAGTGGCCTCTGCAACTGATTGCATTCAATGCTTCAAATGTTTCGCCTTTCTCCACTGTCTGCAAATGATTCGCTGCCACTAACCGAGACTCGTTCTAATAGCGGGTCCTCTCCCACGTTACCTAGGCCGAGAACAACAAAGGCATATCAAGGACTCTTAGCTTAGTCTAAGAAAGTGAAAGAAAATTTTGAAGCTGGCGACGACCAGGCACACTATTTTTTATTCTTTCTGTAGATCATACTGTACGGGATGTTCCTCGTAAATTACAAACAGGTAACTAAAAAATAATTTGTCCCAAAGATGGAGTTGGGGCTGAAATTAGATTATGCCTTTATACCTTCCCTTGTTTATTTTATATTGCACCTTGTTTCACAGGGTACCTATATTAAAATACAAATTTAATTAAATCAACGTACGCGTTGAACTAATTAACCTTTCAGTCTGAAAATCTAAAACTGAATTTAATTTACTTCCCTTCTCTCTACTTGGAACAGCAATTCCTTTGTACTGTACTAAGTGCATTAAAGATACCAAAGTAAGCTACTTCAGTAAATGCATTCTATTCGGGGTATAGCAATTCGTCTTTAATTGTATTGGGATCTCATATAATGCAGAGAAATTTAGTATCAAAGTAGAAGCTGAGATCAAAGTAAATTACTTCCGGTATGGGAAATATCTTCTTAGACAACGTCGAAATTGTACATCTTGCTTATAGTCCAGACGGTATCTGTTTCAAAGAGTCGATATTTGTGTGAATCGTATATCCACGGAGATTTTTGGCTTTTTGGCTTTAAAATATCACTAGAAATTACAATTTTTCTATGCGTATAAAAAAACGTGGGCTTAACTTTTGGCGGCACAATATGTTAAAAAAATTCGAAAAATGTCATATTTTTCTTCCTATTTAATTATGTGTCTTTTTAAGAGTTGATTTTAGGTGAAAATGGAAGAGGAAAAAAATGTTTGAATCACATATAGAAGGGCTCTCAAGCTTTCAACGCTTTTTGAAAAATTCGAATCCGTCAATTAGGAGAGCTTTGGCGCTTGTTTAAACATTGGTCAAATTATTGTACTATAATTTTGTATTTTTGTAACATAATGAGTTAATTTCTCATTTGCTTGTATTTTAAACAGTGAATAATATTTGAATTATACTTTAATCACAAAATAAATGATGATTAAATTAATAATTAATTAATTAATTAATTACTAATTTTCGACATATTTTGAAAATAATTGTTATTTAAACAATTTTAGAATATTTAAATAAAATTGTTTTTGATGTTTG